CCGCGGGGGAGGGGCGAGGGTGTGTCCTGGGGGGACGGCCGCCGACTGCCGGGAATTACAGAGAGGGGGCCGAGGGAGACCCGCTGCCCGCGCGCCCAGCTCTTATCACGCTTAAGAGGCTTCTGCTTTGCGGAATTGCGCTCGCCCGCCGAGAAGGACATAGGCTAGTGCCGCCCACGCTTCCCAAAGCCCGGGCGGCTGGGGCCTGAGCATTTCTTCAAAGACCTTCCGCGCATGGAGTCGACCTTGGGGGGAAACCCAGGCGGAGACCAGCAGTGAGTGTGCACGTTATAAAAGAAATAAGTGCCCATCTTCACCTTCCGTGTACACCCTCCCCAGCGGGGTCTCTTTCAGTGACACTCTCCATCCCCGTTACTTCTCGTGAATTACGTCGCTTCCCTGGGGCTGCCTTACTGCAAAGCTGTACATTAATTACCACATTACACACGAAGCCCCCAGGGAAAGGAATGCCAAGCATAAATCTGGTTTTTGTTCTTTTTTTAATGTTGAACATGATTAAGTTTGCGATTAATCAAGTCTTTCCACCAGCATCTAGGAAGAGACCCAAGACTGCGACTCGCTGGGAGATGAACGGGCGCACTTAGCAGCGTTACGTCATAGTGGCTCAGTGACCGCACAGGTATGATGCAGAAACCATGTGAGAAACAGGACCGACCATTTAACAAAGACTCGCCTGCTTGCTAACTGTAACTAATTAGCAGACAGGACCTAATTTTTGAGCATTTTGAAAGGTCATTCCACACCTTCCATTGTTCACTGTCTTGGAGTCACAGCACTGCTTGCCAATGGTCAGCCTGGGAAACAGAAACCCGGGATTGTATTTGGAAACTTAAAGAAGAGACTCATAAGGGACCCAATGAAGCTATTAATTTTAATGTAGCATATAAAATGTCAGAGGCATGACACATTCTTGAGGTCAATCAGGAACCATACCAGAACGTGTGTTCCAGAAATAGAATTATGTTGGGAGGTCCAAAATAGAGTGTAAAATAATTTTTTGAAATGAAATGTTGAGAGTTTACTATATATCTATCTTTAGTTCATTTTTTTGTTTTCATCCTGAAGAGAAGTGGTGGATCATGAAATATTCGATTTTTTTCTGTTATTAAATCCCCCCCCCCCCTTTCTTTGGGGATTCAATGTAAAGTTGGTAAGGACGAGTTTGGCTTTTTAAGTGAAAATACTCTGAGTTTGGCAGGTGCAGTCTCTTCTTGTATGCCATTAGGTCCTTTTATTTTGTAACTCTGCGCTTCATTTGTAGAGTTTTACTAGACTCACCAGATAGCAGAGTCAAGTACTTTGGTTCATCTGAAAGGCATCACTGTTTTTCAGGGTGGCCTTGTTGGGTGGGTCTCCCTAAGATACATTTCAGATCCTAACCACCTTTCTCATCTCCAGGAAGGCGTGTTAGAACAATCTTTCCTCTGCGAATTAGCAGAAACATTTTATTGATTAAAATGCCCAGGCAAAAGCAGAAGGAAAAATTGGGGCCAGGGGTTCAGTATGTGATGGTCATCATGAGCACAGAAACCTGAGCAGCCCCTTCAACCGCCTTTGCTAAAACTGTGAACATTTTTGAAGTGTGAAACTTAGTTGAGATATCCAACATATCAAACGTCTTAGTCAAAGATGACACTCCCTTCAGTGGGCCTGTTTGCTTGTGCAGATGAGACTAAAGGGATAAATGAAGTTTCTGCCGTCCTTCAACATCGTTTACGCGGGGAGACCTTTTGGGTGGCAGCTATCGGGGCATCCAAATGTTCCTGGAAACTCTGCTTTTTGTTTCTATGTCCTGTCCATTTGCTTGTGCTCCAAATGAGAACTATCCCAATACTGAATATCCTGTAGAGTTTCTTGGGTCAGGAGAGGGAGCGGGTGACAATGTGTGTGGTCTATGGGGCACTCATCTCAGAGGGTGAAGAGGGGAGCTTGCTGAAAATGCAGATTTCCTGGGCCCTACTCAGAACTACTGAATTAGGGTCTTTCTGTCTGAAGACCATGACAGCAGCCTTTGTGTTTGTATAACTGAACATTTTGAATAAGTGACACATTCACATAGTTTAAATAAATAGAGGTATATATACACTGCAGCCCCCTTCCTACCACTCTTTCCCATAGGCCTAGTCCGTATATCTCCTCGAAGGTAACCGCTGATATGAGTGTTTTCTGCAGATTTCCAGGTTACTTTAGACACGTACCTGCAAATATAAATTCTTGCTCTTCTTTATTTCTTAAAAATACTATACGTAGAACTATATCCATTTCCTTGGATAAATGCACCACAATTTATTTAATCAGAACCCCACTGATAGACGTTTGGGTTCTTTCCAATATTGTCCTATTCATGTTACAAATTTCCACATATAACATTTTACACGTATGTAAGTATGTCTATGGCATTAATTCCACAGTGGGATTCCTGGATTCTGCGTTTCTAATTTTGATAGATATAGCCAAACTGCCCTTCAAAGGGCTAAACCCATTGACACTCCCACTAACAATGCTGGCTAGTGCTTGCTTCCCCCGAGGCCTTGCCAACAGAGTGTGCAATCAAATTTCTGGGTTTCTGCCAATCTGATAGGTGAAAATGATGTCTCAGGATAGTCTGACTTGTATTTCTCTGATACTGAGTGAGGTGGAGCAACATTTTTATATGTTTAAGGGCCAGTTCTATTTACTTTGTTGTGGCCTCTCTGTTTATTTACTTTCCCCATATCCTACTGGTTCTTGACCTTTTTCTTTATAGAGTTCTTGAAACTCCATATATATTAATATAATTATCCCTTTGTATTGTGAGCTACAGGTTGTTTTCTCATTTTGTTATTTGGTTTTTGACTGTGCTTATGGTATTCTGTGGGCGTGCAAAAGTCTCTGAATTTATCAAAAGTATATAGAAATGCCTTTCCTATACCATATGCTCTTGAGATTTTATTTTTTTACATTTAAATATTTGGTCCATTTGTATTTAACCCTTGTTTAGTTTATAAGGCATTAAGGTATGTATCCTGCTTTGTTTTGTTCCAATTAATGATCCACTTACCCCATGAACACTTTTTTTTAAAAAAATTTTTAAAATGTTTTTAAAAATACATAACATAAAATTTATCATCAAGATCCCTCCGTGTTGTGGCACCTGACAGGATTTTCTTCTGAATAATCCCCCATTGTATGGAGGAAATATACCATATTTCCTTTATCCCTTCATCTGTGGATGGACATCTGAATTGCTTATACCTCTTGACTATTGTGAATAACGCTGCTATGAAAATGGGTGACCAAATATCTATATGAGATCCTACTTTAAAGTATTTTGGGTGTATATGCAGAAGTGGTACTGATGCATTACATGATATGTCTATTTTTTATTTTGTGGAGGAACCTCTATGCTGTTTTCTATAGCAGCTGCACCATTTTACATTCCCACCAATAGTGCACATGGGTTCCAATTTCTCTACATCCTTGCCAACACTTTTTATTTTCTGTTTTTGTTGTTGTTTTGGTTTGTTTTTTTGATAGTGGCTATCCTAATGGGTGTGAAATGATATTCCATTGTGCTTTTGATTTGAATTTCTCTAATGATTAGTGGTGTTAAACATCTTTTCATATGCTTGTTGTCCTCTTGAATATCGTCTTTGGAGAAATGTATATTTAAGTCCTTTGCCCATTTTTTCATTGGGTTATTTTTGGGTTTTGTTGTTGGGTTGTAAGAATCATGTATATATTATGGTATTACCTCCTTATCAGATATATGATTTGCAAATATTTTCTTCAAATCCTTAGATTGGCTTTTCACTCTGGATTTTGATGCACAGTTTTCCAAGTTTTCTGTAGTCCCGTTTGTCTATTTTTGCTTCTGTTGCCTGTGAGTTGGCATACTACCACTTTATAACAGCAGTCTTTTATCTGCTGTTTTGAGATGCCATTTTTAACATGTATTAACTTCCTGTATAGAGTTGGGTCTATTTCTGGACATTTTCTTGTTTCCTTGGTTGATCTCTTAGTTTAAGTACCTCTACTACACTGTTTTAATTTTTGAGGCTTTTAATGTTAATAACTTGTTGGCCTAATTCTTTCATTGCTCTTCTCTCTGAGAGTTTCCTGTTTTTCCTTATGAATGTCAGAGTAAATAAACAATAATAACAACAGAAATCCCTATTACTATTTTTAAAATTAGAATTAAATTTAGATAATTAATGAAGGATCAACATCTTAATGTTGTCAAGTTTTCCTAGCCAAGAAAAAGGTAGATCTCTTCATTTGTTTAAATCTTATTTTGTGGCCTTCAGGAATGTTCTACAGTTTTCTTCGTGTCTTGCAGATTTATTGTTGCATTCATTCCTAACTGTTTTATCTTTGTATTGCTATTTAAACGGGGTCTTTTTTTCCATCACATTTCCTTGCTGGATATAATGAAATAATTACAGTGTATTCATTTTGTACCATTTTATTTTACTAAATTATCTTATTGTTTATAGATAGTTCTCAAGTATCTTTTACTTCTAACCATGTAATAATATCTGAAAATAAAGATTAACTTTCTGCTTTCAGATTTTTATACATTTTTTTTTCTAATTTCATTATCTATTAGGTCTAGTACAATGATAAATAACAGTAATGATAGTGGGTGTTCTTGCTTATGTTTGATTTTAGTGGCAAAACCTCCAGTGTTTCCCCAGTAGGCATGGTATGGACTTTGGCCTGGGAATGATATATTTTATTATGCAAAGAAAATATTGTTATCATCATTTTATTGAGGACTTTTTTCTTGGGTCAAATATGACTATTGGCTTTTGTCCAAATGCTTTTTTTTTTTTTTTTTTTAAGTATTTTTAGAAATGACCACATGATTTTCCTCCTTAGATCTATTAATTTGATGGAATATGATAAATTCCTTAACAATGAACTGCCCTTGCATTCCTGAAATAAGTTATATTGGATCATGGAAATTTTTTAAAAATGTGCTGGTTGATAATATTTGCTAATATTTTAATTAGAATTTTTGCATTGATATTCCTAGTTGAGATTTTGATATAAAACATTTTTGTTTTATTGCATTGTGATCAAATGTTGTGTGCAACATTTCTATCTTTTGAAATTTATTGACTTTTTCTTTGTGGCCTAATTTATAGTCAATTTTCATGTATGTCTCTTGGCTACTTGAAAACATGTGGCTGTCTATACTTTCAGGGTATAGAGTTGAATAATATATATCTCATTATTAATTATGTTATTTATGTCTTCTTTATACTTCAGCTATTTTATCTTGACTTGTCATGGATTGAGAGAGTTTTCATTTCTATATATTTTCCCTTGCTTTATATTATTCTTCTGTAATTTCTGCTTTATAAGACAGCTAGCTGTATGTTACTTAGTGACTATGTATTCATAATAGTTATAGCTTCATTTTGAGTTTTATCATTTAACATTACAAGTATCCTTTTTTTAATTTATCTGTTGGTTTAAATTCCTCCTTATCTGATAATAAGGTCACAACCTTACTTTATTTTCAGTTCCCTTTGCCTGGTATGTCTCTTCTTTCACACTCAGGCTTTCTGAATCACTTTGATCTGCATGTGTCTCTACATACAGGATCTCATTCTGCGATGTAGTTCACTGCCT